GTGAAGTCTCTCCTAATTGCCCACTAGGGTGTGGGGTGGATGGCATCCTCCCGGAAGTAAAATCACTTCAAAAGCCATGATAGAATGGACAGAAGTGATGGCTTCAAGTATGCAAATTGTGAAATGTATGTGTGGGTCTTATTTGCCCCAGTCGTTGTCCCCTCATCCCAGATTTATTGGTCAGGTTAAGCCTGGCAGGCAGGCAGCATGAGGCTCTCCTCCACGTTACCAGAGATTCTGGACCACAACTTTACAGTTAAACTAACTACATTGTATTGTAATTATTGTTTGCCTGTCTCCCCCATGAGGGGACTATTTCCGCTTCTGCCTACCATTCTGCTGTGCTTAGCAAATGTCACCGAAGGAAGGGACACAGTATAAATGCTACTTATAATTAACGGAAACTAGACTGTCAGCATTCACTCACATCTTACAATTTCATTGGACTTCTTTATGGAGGTTGTGATCACTTTCTACACTAAGAAAGGTTCAGAGGGCAGAGGAAAGATGAGATTTAGAAATTACTTCTTACCTCCCAGGACAATCGTGAAACACACAAGCATTGTGAAATGCCCATTTACAATAGTGTAGCCAGCTGTCCTGCCGCAGAGTAATTCTGTCCTGCTGCTGTTATCTTCTCTTTGCACCCAGAAGAAAGAGTTCATTTTTGACACTGCTTTTTCAGTCCTAACTTGATGAATTCAGATGTGAGTTACTACTTTCACTACCACAGACTAACCTGTTACAAGATGCAAAAAGAAGAAAATGAGACTTGCCAAGTTCTAGCACATCCACATTCTTCCTACCTAAGATTGTACCACACTCAGGTCTCAGCACATTTCTTCTTGCCACAGGGCACACATTGATACTGTCTGTTCTACCTCTTGCTCCAAGAATGTTTCAAATTTTTAATGTTTATTTATTTTTGAGAGAAAGAGACAGAGTGTGAGCGGGGGAGGGGCAGAGAGCAAGGGAGACACAGAATCTGAAGCAGGCTCCAGGCTCTGAGCTGTCAGCACAGAGCCCGACTCGGGGTTCAAACTCCCAAACCAACCACGAGATCATGACCTGAGCTGAAGTCGGACGCTTCACCAACTGAGCCACCCAGGCACCCCATCCAAGAACATTTTATAGGAACACTAACAGCAGTGTGTTTCTTCCTCACACTTCTACACATGCATGGAGGCGTGACTCCATTGATTTCTGCACTTAACCATCATATGATCTAGTGATGTATTTGCCTTCCACATTGGACAGTGAGTTTCTCAAGGGCCAGGGCTGAATATTATTTTTCTTACACACAGTACAAGGCACATAATAGGCTCTCTATAATATTTGATGAACCGAACTTTTTGAGGGGGAGCTCTTCCTCCATGGGTATAAATCATTCTGGAATTCCCCTTTACTATTTCAATCCCACATCCCCTTTTTCCTCTCTTGGGCCCTTCCAAATCCAAAATGGTTCCCCATTTTGGGAGGTCAATGTTGAGTCACACCGATAAGGTGGGGCAGGGGAGGAGGGTAAATAACCTAAAAACAAAGGAAAAGACTAAATTTGAGGTGAATTAGAAAGTGAATTAGAAAAAGTCCCCCTTCCTGATGACAAGGCACATGGTTTGTGCAGGGATTTTAGCCCCAGTACCTACCCTCAGCTGGTGCCCTTGTGTTGAACATAGCCTGCACAAATCTATTTCGTGGTCCTGAGAAGGACTCATTCTGTTTTATTTTTCCTTGCAGTTAACCTTAACCTAAAAATTCCTAGAGGTTCCTGAAGTATCCCCAATAATCTTTAGAGTTAATCTTTGGTTCTTTGTTTTGCACCTGTCTATAAGCCATATTCTGATGTGAAGCAGAAATGAGATTCAAAGTGCTGCAACCTCAAATCACTTCACATGTCCCTCAAATAACCCTCCACATCCCTGGCATTCTCACATCCTGCTATCCCCACCTGTCATTACAGCACCGCTCTCAAATCAAGTTCTTCTCCAAACTACCAAGACCAGAGATACCATCTTTCAAGACTAAGCTGGTTCAGAGTGGAAATCAAGATGAAGGCTCTTGAAAATCACAAAGAACGAAAGACGCTCAGCTCTGCGTCTGTTTGCCAAGGACAGTACTGCCAACTGATATCACACTGAAAGCCATTTCCATACCTAATTCCCATTGGTTGCTTGCCAACTTACTTTCATTCTGATTGGCTACATATATCATCCCCCACTCCCAATCCAGAAGCAGCTAAGTGATCCAGTTCCAGAGAAGCTTGCATTTCTTAATGCTCAAGCTGTGTCTATACCCACAACTGTTTTAACTGATTTTCTTTGCCTGCCATGGTCATACACCATGTAGACAGAACCTCCTCCTACATGTTTTTAAATATATATTCTTGTGTTTCTTTCTCCAGCCCTAATCCTCTTTACCACTGCCTGGTCTCCCTTCTGATTTTTTCATTTATCCTTTTCCATTTTCTCTTTTTCTACCTATCCTTCCTTTTCAATGGGAATTTCTCACTTTTGGTACTTAATTTGAAGAAACAATATTACTCTTCGTAGGAGGACAAATGTATCCCAAATTATGCGATGCCAAGCTTAATAGATTTTTGCCTCAAATATAATCACTAAAAACAAATACAGTATAAATTTAAACAAATAAACATTATTCATCAGTTTGTAGTTTATTTCCAAGGAAGTTACTTGTGACAATGAAATTCTACTCTCTCATTCCTTTGTCATTCCAATCTAATCCTCTCCCCCAGGGCATCATGGATACCGCCACAGCAGTGAGATTACTAAATTTGTCATCCATTTTCTCCATCACTATGTATCAAAGAAGCTTTGATAAATGAAAGTCTCAATTTCTACTTGAAACTTTAAAGAGTTTTAGTCAACAGTTCTATGTCTGGCCCTGATTGCAGCAACCACCATTGGTTGCTGCCCATAAACCATTCTCCAAAATATTTGCATTTTGTTGTTGTCTGGTATGGTTCTTTTAAACCACTCAGCCCATAAATTCCAAGGACCATGTTTTTTTGTTTGTTTTTTTTTTAAATTGTCTTATCACAGGGTCTGAGAGACCCATTCCTTTCTCTTTCCCATGCCCTTACTTAAGTCTCCTAGTTACCAAGTTTACTACCATTTCTCCCATTTTCATCTTTGTGTTATCTATACCACTTGTTGCCTTGAATTCTCTCAACTGCTTCATATAATTTTGAGTAACATCCTTTCACCTTCCATCTAGTTCCTATCCTGCTGTCCTCTCAGGCTCACTTGGGTCACCTAGACCCTACAGGTAAGTCTCATGAAGCTTTACATTTCAAAATTCAGTTTCTCCATGGTTTTTAGAAAAATCCTCATACCTCAAGAATACTTGGACAAAATTCATAGTTGGCTCTAGGTTACACATAGTTCCTCTAGTGAGCGCACGTAACTAAAATACAGAGATGATCAAATTCCTTTACATTACAATCTTTCCCATAGAGCTTTAAAGAAAAGCAATAATAGGGGCGCCTGGGTGGCTCGGTTGAGCGTCTGACTCTTGATTTCGGCTCAGGTCATGATCTCACGGCCATGAGATGGAGCCCGCACAAGGTGCTGCACTGACAGCAAAGAGCCTGCTTGAGATTCTCTTTCTCCCTCTTTTTTTCCCCCCCCCCCCCCCCCATGCTTGTGTACATGCACGTTCGCTTGGTCTCTTTCTCTCTAAAAATAATTTTTTTTTTAATTTAAAAAAGAATAAAAAAAGAAAAGCAATAATAAATCTGTGTGTCACCATTTTTGGCAGAGCCAGCTGAGTAGACTGTGACAGCTTTAGGAGTTGAGGGCTGAGGGGCTGCCCAGGATGTTCTCCCCCAACCCCATATTCTGATCATAGATTATATTATCAGAATCCTTTCTCTTTCCCATATTCTGATAATAGATTATAGTATCTGACTGAGACAAGGTTGGTTAGTCATAACCCTAATGCATCCCCCTAATACAATGATTGGTTCAGGGATGGGCATGGGACTCAGGACCATTTAGATGGTTCCTCAGCTTGGTATATATCACTGTCAAGACAGAGAGAGCTGTTCTCTTCGCATTTGGTTTCTAGCTATGACAATGATTGCCTAGAGCAGCTGGAGGTCATCCTCCCAGATGCACTGAGAAAGTCCACCTCAAGTCGGAGCAGTTCCAGAAGGTGCCACCTTAGATATCTCTGACCTCACAATCCCGCCTGAGATTTTATCTTCTCTCAGAATCCATTTCTTATTTTGAGACCTTTTGCCTTCTAGAAAGGCTGGGAATGAGAAACACTTTTATTTTTAAACTCAGTGGGTACTGGCTCCATTATATTTCTTCTAAATTTCATTTGAAAACTGAACTGTTCCTTTTTGGCTCATCTCTCTCCTCTCATGTTGTAGCAGAAGCAGCCAGGTGGCACTTGAACACTATCTAGAAAAATCCTTAGCAGGACCATTGAGTTCATTACTTAGACAACAGTGCGGTCAAATTTACCACCATCACATAACAAGGGCCTCTCTTCTCCAGTTTCTAATAACATTTTCTTCCCCTTCCTATAAACTCCCACTAATAACCTCCCAGAGACCTTTAAAGATTCTGCAGACTTTCACGAACACTCTCCTCTAGGTCCTCTGGGGTTCCAAAACGGCAATATCACATATTTTAGGTACTTCTGGTACTTAATTTGAAGAAACAATATTACTCTTCATAGGAGGTCAAATGTATCCCAATTATGCGATGCCAAACTTAATAGATTTTTGCCTCATATACAATCACTAAAAACAAATATAGTATAAATTTAAACAAATGAACATTATTCATCAATTTGTAGTTTATTTTCAAGGAAGTTATCTTGTGACAATGAAATTCTACTCTCTCATTCCTTTGTCATTCCAATCTAATCCTCTCCCCCAGGAGAGGGGTTTGTTATGTCATTTTCTCGCTTCCACAGTCTAAAATGTGTATGTTATACATTACTGCATAACAAAGAGACACAAAACTTAGTAGGTTAAAACAACAACAATCATTTATTTAGCTGACATCTACAATTTTAGCAGGACTCAACAGAGAAGGCTCCATACTGCATTGGCTGTGGTGGCTTGATTGAAGGATCTGCTTCCGAGATGGCTCACTAGCAGTGACTGTTAGCTGAAGCTCAGACAGGGCTGTGGGTTAGGGCCTCAGTTTCTGTCCATATGGGTCTCTCCACACAGACTGGTTTCCAAGACTGAGCATCTTAAACGAACTAGCTGGAAACTGCATCACCTTTTATGATCTATGGAAATCACATAGTATTACTTCCACGATAAGCACAGGCCTGCCCAGATTCAAGAGGAGATAGTAGAGACCCACCTCTCTGTGTGAAGAATGTCACAATTACATTGTAAGAAGAGCATGTAGGACAGGAGATGGGGCCAACTTGGAAAATACAATGTATCACATTTTAGATTAAAAAAAATCAGAGTGTATTGTCAGCCCTTTATAATTTGGGGCATCATGTTCACCTTAATAGCATTCTGCCTGCTTCAGCTCAGTCTAGAGCAGTTCTCAAAGGCTGGACCATAGACCAGTGGTGATTCATGACAAAAGTTCCATCATACGTGGCATAATGAGAAAAATATAACAGTTCATAATAAAGCTTAATTTATTCAATTTAAAGGACAGAACCTAACAATGAAATCACACCTTCCCTTCTTTTCTGATGTTAAAATCTTCTCTTTTATTAAATAACAGTGATAGCAGATAGTAATTGTTTTCTTAATGATGTCATATCAATCTCCTCCATTTTTTCCACATTTTTCCAATTAAACTACAGAAGTCTCAGGAACCACTGTCTAGCGTTTATCATAGCACTGAATTTAGCCTTTACTTGACCCCTTTCTAAATAATTTAATTTACTAGTCTGCACATTGAAATTGTAATTACTCTACGGGTGTTCAGAAGAAGTCCTGCACCTACCTGTGTAGCAGCTCGAACTCAAAGCATATGGGCATTTGAACTCTCCTATGAATAAATGTATAATTCAATGCAACAACAGATCACAAGAAGTACTATATCTCTCTAAACTCAGATCCTCACATCAGCAGAATCTTTGACATGGCATCCAGGAATCCTTTGGTAATCACCAGCTTCACAGGCCTAAAAACTAGTACAGCATTCAAGATGAAGGTCAGAAAACAGAGGAGAAACTAGATACACAGTCATGACGTTGTACGTGTGTGGGGCCGGAGAAGCGGGAGTCACAACAGGGCACCAGCACAAAGAAGGTAATGGAGAGAAGGGTTCAGGAGTCATTTTTAGAAAGAACTCTATGAATAAGGTAGCACCAAAAGAGAATTCATTCAACTGTTACTTACTAACTTACTACCTTATGGGCTCTTGAGGTATGAAGAAAAACATGACAAATCCCCTTCCCTCAAAAAGCTCATAATCCGCAAGGGAAGACAAATATGTGAACAATTAAATAGAATATATATGTGGCTATTAGCACTACAGATACTCCAGAGAAGGAGGGATTAGTTCTTCCTAACACTGGGGATAAAAAAGGTCACAGGGTGAAGAATTATAGACTGCTTTGCCAAAGGTCAGAATAGGCTTTTTTTTTTTTTTTCATCTTTATTGAGGCATAACTGACATAGAAACTTGTAAGACAGACTGACTTTTGAGAAGTTTCCATTGCTGGAGGCAAGATGAAGAATAGGAATTGGCATCTTAGTTCAGGCTGCTACAACAAAAGACCATAGCTGGCTACTTTATAAACAACAAACATTTATTTCTTACAGTTCTGGAGGCTGGGAAGTCCAAGATTATGGTGCCAGAAGATTCAGTGTCTGGTGAGAGCCTACCTCCTATACGGCTCATTTTGCTGTAACCTCACATGGGTGCTAAGGGCAAGGGAACTGTCTGGAGGTCTCTTTTATAAGAACCTAATCCCATTCAAGAGGGTTCTGCCCTCATAACCTAATCACTTCCGAAAGGCTCCACCTCCTAATACTGTCACTTTGAGCATTAGATTTTAACATGTGAATTTGCAGAGGGGAGGAGTGGGGGCATGACATACAACACATTCAGACCACAGCAGCTGGTAAAGGAGTTAGAAAAGCAGTAAAGGAACCACAATGACATAAGGGTGCCAGTCAAGGAGTTTTAAAAAGACAGCGTTACTACATACATCAAAAGCTTCAAGAAGTTGGAAGAGAAGAACTAAAAGGTGAATAAAGGAGAGAGAGGTTTATTTTATATTAAGGATCTCCAGAACTGTCTCAGTTTTATCTACGAATCTTTGAAGTAAGATTCAGGAATCATCCCCCTAATCATCAGGACCACATTGCCTGGAAGGTAACGACATACTCAAGATCAAGGCTCAGAAAATATGGTAGAAACAATAAAAATGGCAACTAGCCTTGTCCCAAATTACTGCAGTCCTTAAAGGTAACAGACTTCTCACAATGTACAATAGTAAGAGAGCAGAGCCAACACAGATAGACCTCCTTCCTTGTAGAACTCCACAAACACCCATTGGATCTACCAGAGGGAGTGAGAGTTATTGCCCTATTCTTTTGCTAAAGGCAAAAATGGAATGGAATTGCTGAAATGGAATTGCTCATGCATAAAAAAGATCTCAAAACTTAAAAATCTGTGACACAAATTTAAAGTGTTATCTCAAAACCGTAGTTGAGAAAGTGTCAACTGATGAGCAATTACTGAATTGCTTTTTCCATTTCCATCCCCTCTATAATGAAAAACTAGCTTTTAGTGTAGGACAAAAAAGAAAAGGTCTTAAGAACAACACATAAATGTGTGTGTTTTTTTTTTAACATGTTGTTTCTATAAAAATTTTCAGGAAAATCAGAGTAGTAGAAGGTTTGGGGGCTTTTAGATAAACTAGGGGAAAAAAAGACATTCCAAACCACTAATATGAAACCAAACCAACACTGATATTTAAAACATAAAAAATAGGGGGTGCCTGGGTGGCTCAGTTGGTTAAGCATCCAACTTCGGCTCAGGTCGTGATGTCACAGTTGGTGAGTTCGAGCCCCACGTCAGGCTCTGTGCTGACAGCTCAGAGCTTGGAGCTCGAAGCCTGGAGCCTGCTTCCAATTCTGTATCTCTTTCTCTCTCTGCCCCTCCCCCACTTGTGCTCTGTCTCTCTTCATCAAAAATAAATAAATGTAAAAAAAAAAATTTTAATTATAAAAAATATAAAACAGAACAGAAAGAAAGATAGCATGGAGTCCAGTTAAAATATCTATATTGTCAAACCTACAGAATAAGGGAAATCTAAATATACATGTGTGTGTGGAGAGAGAGAGAGAGGAGGAGGAGGAGGAGGAGGAGGAAGCTAAAGAAATGAGCAGATTTTACTAAAAGACTAAATCCCACCTCACAGGTAAATTTTAATTTGGATATAAAAAGTAATAGTTGTAGGAGTGCCTGGGTGGCTTAGTCAGTTAAGCATCCGACTTCGGCTCAGGTCATAATCTCCCAGTTTGTGAGTTCAAGCCCCGCATCAGGCTCTGTGCTGACAACTCAGCCTGGAGCCTGCTTCAGATTCTGTGTCTCCCTCTCTCTTTGCCCCTTCCCCGCTGGCGCTCTTGCTCTCTCTCTATCTCTCTGTCTCTCTCAAAAATAAACATTAAAAACAAAACAAAAAAAGTAATAGTTGTTTAAGAAGAGGACCCTGAGGGGAGCCTGGGTGGCTCTGTCAATTAACTGTCCGACTCTTGATTTCAGCTCAGGTCATGGTATCATGGTTGGTGGGATTGATTCTCATGGTGGGCACAGAGCCTGCTTGGGATTGGGGTTCTCTCTCTCTCCGTTTATGTCACTCCACTCCCTTGCTTGAGTGATCTCTCTCAAAATAAATAAATAAACCATATAATTAAAAAAGAAGGAAGAAGGAAGAAGAAGACGAAAACCCCGAGCCAAACAATTCTTAATATATCCTTGCTCCAGAATGTCTTCCCATAGCTTTTCTTTTGAAAGAGGGAGAACAAACTTTTCCTCTGGAAATAGCTAATATGTCTTTTCTAATAGAATTCTTCAGTTAAATGGAAATTTCCTGCCTCTGTTAGAAAACTGTTAGATTCTCTATATAGCTTTTAGAGCTTCCAGAGAGACTTTGTGAGTGATTCACACCCACACTGTCTGGAAGCAGCATGTGGAACTCACATGGAGCCACACTTGAAGCAGAGGCAAGGACAGAGCGTCTGGAATTACACGTGCTGAATAGGGTAAAACAAAAAAAGGGTGATTCATACCTAAACATTCTTATAAAGCCCTACATGTATTTTCTTAACTTCAGTTGGCATGAGTAAGTTTGCTTTTATAAATATTAGAAGAAAGTGTGGTCTTTTACAAAATATATATTCAGTAGAAGGTAAGATCTTGACTTCTTTTCTGACCATGGCTTAGACTACAGATTTGGCACTTTTCACTTGACCTGGAAGGAAGCAGATTTTAAAATTACATTTAGGGGCGCCTGGGTGGCGCAGTCGGTTAAGCGTCCGACTTCAGCCAGGTCACGATCTCGCGGTCCGTGAGTTCGAGCCCCGCGTCGGGCTCTGGGCTGATGGCTCAGAGCCTGGAGCCTGCTTCCAATTCTGTGTCTCCCTCTCTCTCTGCCCCTCCCCCATTCATGCTCTGTCTCTCTCTGTCCCAAAAATAAATAAACGTTGAAAAAAAAAATTTTTTTTAAAAATTACATTTAATTAGCTTGTCATATGGGGCGCCTGGGTGGCGCAGTCCGTTAAGCCTCCGACTTCAGCCAGGTCACGATCTCGCGGTCCGGGAGTTCGAGCCCCGCGTCAGGCTCTGGGCTGATGGCTCAGAGCCTGGAGCCTGTTTCCGATTCTGTGTCTCCCTCTCTCTCTGACCCTCCCCCATTCATGCTCTGTCTCTGTCCCAAAAATAAATAAACGTTGAAAAAAAAATTTTAATTAGCTTGTCATATAAAACAAAAATGAAGCCAGTTGTAAAATTATTGCCAGTCTGAACCAGTCATTAATCAAGCCTTGAGGTTTGTATGTCAATTCTAGTATTCTCCTCCACCTTTTTTTTTTTTAATTTAAAGGTATGAGGTCACATTTCCCATATAATTGGTATTATTGTTCCTAATTCTGCCATTGAATAGAATAACTGAATAAACTGCTTAACCTCACCAGTCTTCACTTTCCTCCTTGTAACTTAAGGGGGTCATTTGAGAGGTCCCATCAAGACTAACACTTCCATCATGTGAAGGTATAAGATACTGGGGTGCTTGGAGGGGGTATAGAAGACCTGAGGGGGGCAGAGAGGTGATTCTTCCTTAGCGATGAGAAGGGAAGGAGGGAGAGGTGATGGACCAGGCTAACAGCAGTGGTAGAACAGAGAGAGAGGGTGAGAACCAGATTGTACCACAATGACAGGGAGAGAGGGTGAGAACCAGATTGTTCCAGGTCTTAGTCATCTCACTTTTGGACTATGTTGGTCTCACTTCCTCTAGTCTCTTCTCCATCCATTTTATAAGGAAAGCCATATTATTCTCTCCTACTGAATCCTTCTTCTCTGCTTACCCCAAAGCATTTAATGGCAGCCCTCTGCCCCGGATAAAGACCAAACTTCTAAGCTTATAATTCAGTACTTTTAATGAAATGAGCACCAGTTAACTTTTCAACCTTATTTTTCACTGTTCCTCAAAGACTTCACTATAATTAGCCAGATGGATCCTGGCCACTTCCCCACTCCCGCCTTCAAGCCTTTTGTCATCCTATTGTGCCTTCATTCCAGAACTCCCTTCATATTCCAGCCTGGCTACCCATCCTTTCAGACAATTCCTCTTTCTTCATGATGCTTCCTCCTAATAGCTAGGCTTCTCTGAACATACACAGTACTGAGTTTATCTTTTCTAGTTTGTAGTTTTCACAAACTAGGTAGTAGGCTGCTTAAAGACAAGGACGGTGTAAAGCATCTGTCTCCCTTCAGGGGACCTAGGAGTGTGCTATCTATGCATATGCTCAATAGACATCTGGTAAAGATGGCAAGGGATACTCTGCCATACTACCTAGATTAGATTGTCTTAACCTTTAAAAAACCATAGCCCCTTTTGATTAAAAAAAAAAAAATCTTGCATACTCATAATCCAACATTCAAAAGAATGGGTTCACATCATATACAAAAAATAACTTCGATTGGACCATAGAGCTAAATGAAAAAAGCTAAAACTACAAAAGTCTTACCAAAAAGCCCATAAGAGTAAGCGCTGGTGACCTTGGGTTAGGCAATGTATCCTAGATACGACACTGCACACATAAACAACAAAAGGAAAAATAAGGTCAACTGGACTTCACACTTAAAGGCTTTTTTGCTTCAAAGGACACAATCAAGAAAATGAAAAGATAATCTACAGAATGGGAGAAAATATTTGCAAATCACATATCAGATAAGGGAACTGAATTCAAAATACATAAAGAACTCTTACAAGTCAACAAGAAAAAGACAACCCAATTTAAAAGTGGGCAAAGGATGGGGCGCCTGGGTGGCTCAGTCGGTTAAGCGTCCGACTTCAGCCAGGTCACGATCTCGCGGTCCGTGAGTTCGAGCCCCGCGTCAGGCTCTGGGCTAATGGCTCAGAGCCTGAAGCCTGTTTCCGATTCTGTGTCTCCCTCTCTCTCTGCCCCTCCCCCATTCATGCTCTGTCTCTCTCTGTCCCAAAAATAAATAAACGTTGAAAAAAAAATTTAAAAAAATAAAATAAAATAAAAGTGGGCAAAGGAGTCCAATAGACACGTCTCCAAAGAAAATATACAAATAGCCAGTCAGCACATGAAAAGATGTTTAACATGATTAATAATTAAGGAAATGCAAATCTGAACTATATTAAGGTATCACTTCACACCCACTAGGATGGCTAAAAGTTTTTTAAAAGACAATGATAGGGGGCGCCTGGGTGGCTCAGTCGGTTAAGTGTCTGACTTCAGCTCAGGTCATGATCTCACGGTTTGTAGGTTCGAGCCCCGCATGGGGCTCTGTGCTACCAGCTCAGAGCCTGGAGCCTGCTTCAGATTCTATGTCTCCCTCTCTCTCTGCCCCCTCCCCTGCTCATTCCCTCTCTTTCTTTCTCTCTCTCTCTCTCTCTCTCTCAAAAATAAATAATAAAGATTAAAAAAATTTTTTTTAAAAAGGACAATGATAGATGTTGATAATGTCGTGGATAAATTGGAATCTTCATATACTCTGCTTATTGGAAACATTCAGCAGTTCCTCAAATGAAGAGGCAGAGTTACCATATGGCCCAGCAATTCTCCCAAGAGAAATGAAAACATGCAGTCATACAAATTTGTACACAAAAGTTCACAGCAGCATTATTTACAATACTCAAAAGCATGGAAAGTTAAATATGCATCAAATAATGAATATATAGGTAAGTTTGGGTAAGTTTGAATCCATATAAGAATATTATTCAGAACAAAAAGGAATACGGATGTTACAACATGTATGGACCTTGAAAACAGCATGCTAAATGAAAGAAGCCAGACACAAAATGGCACAAATTGTATGATTCTATTCATGAAATGTCCACAATGGGCAAATCTTGTCCAGAATGGGCAATTCTATAGAAATACAAAAGATAAATGGTTGTAGGAGCCTTATGGGAAGGAGGGCGGGGGGAGGGGTTACTGCGAATGGGTATGGTGTTTCCTTTTGGGGTGTTTATGTTCTAAAATTAGATGGTGGTGATGATTATATAACTCTGTGAATATACTGAAAACCAGTGGATTGTGCATTTTTAGTTGGTGAATTTTATAGTATAAGAATTAAATCTCGGGGCGCCTGGGTGGCTCAGTCGGTTAAGCGTCCGACTTCGGCTCAGGTCACAATCTCGGGGTATGTGAGTTCGAGCCCCGCCTCAGGCTCTGTGCTGACTGCTTGGAGCCTGGAGCCTGTTTCAGATTCTGTGTCTCCCTCTCTCTCTGACCCTCCCCCGTTCATGCTCTGTCTCTCTCTGTCTCAAAAATAAATAAACGTTAAAAAAAAAATTAAAAAAAAAAAGAATTAAATCTCAATAAAACTGATATTTTAAAAATTCTTAGGGATGCCTGTCACCAAGTGCAGCTTCCCCATTGACAGGAGACTGTTCCCCCAACAGGATTTTCAAAGCACAGTTATAATACTGAAAGTGCTTTTTCAAATTCTGCCATTCTATCTCCTAGGAGGACTGGCTTTCCTAGTTGAAAATCAAAGGCATAGTAAATTATATAAAATTAATAAATAATGGCAACAATATCAATATGAGACATTCTCTACAGAAATAATAATTGTTACTAATATTGAAGCTAATAATAAATCTAGGGAGTTATACTTGTATCATGAGCTTGTAAAAGGTTAATGAAGATTGTCAAAATCAGAAGTTGTTAACCTCAGAAATAACACTGAACATTGAATATTCATCTTTTCTGACATTCAAACCATTTTTATCCAAAACTTACGCGGTGTTGCCATTTTTGTGAAGATAGGAGTCACAATATCTTCCAATTGTTGTTTCTGCTCCAAAAGCTCGCTGACAGAAGCTTTCAAATGGGTTTCCAACCATTCATTTTTTATACGGCATGCACTGAGGATGGTATTCTAGAGATAGAAACAGAATTTACTTTCTACTTGTTTATTAAAAAATAAAACTCTATAGTATCTCTGAACTAGCACTGTGCAAGAGAACTTTCTGTGATGGTGGAAATGCTCTATCTGCATCGTCCAATGTAGTCACCATTTGACATTTATCCACTGAGTGCTAGAAAAGGGACAAGTGTGACTGAGGAACTCAATTTATTTAATTTTTAATCAATTCTAACTTAAAATAACTACATGTGGCTAGTGGCTGCTATATTGGACAGTGCAGGTCTAACATTAGTGGAATGTTGTGTAAAATAAAACTCATAATTTACAGTCCTGAAGCCCTGGGCCAGTGTACATCCTCTCCCTAATTCTTTATTTTCAATGAGCCCTGTGACAAAGGGAAGTGTTTGCAAAGGTTGAAGAATAGGTGGATGGTATGAACTGGATGCAACTCAACAGGAAGTTTATTCCCTCTCAGAGGGTTCAGAAGAGAGGAAGTGCCAGAAACGCAAGAATAGCTCCACCTCACTGAAAACTTCTCAATTTGCATCAAAGCTATCTCGGCACACACGCAGCAAACTGAGGGTGTCTGATTTAAGATGTTTATTGTTCTGTGGTTCATAATAAGAAAGAAAATAATGAATTTTTTGCATGTCCTGTCCCTATTATTAAATAGGCAGTAGTGTATGCAGAAATCAAGTGGATTTGGAAGGATGGCCATTAATATATTATTGAAAGAAAAAAAAAGCAAATTAAGGATAAATATATAGTTTTATAAAAATATAAATATAAATTTGTATTTATATTTATATATTTTATAAGTATATAGTTTTATAAAAAAACAAAATCTTATAAAACTGTATGTGTGAATACATGTGTTTATATAACTGAAATGGTGAAATTTGTATGGTGAAACTAACACAAGATTGTTATTAGAACCCCAGGACAGTAAGACTGGAAATGGAAGAAAGAAAGCTAGTAAGTTTGCTTTAGGCATTTCAATTTTATTCTAATTATTACTATTTGTACATAATATTTTCTAGCTCAAATAACCAAATATTTAAAAATTGAAATTAAAAGAACTTTTATAGTACCTAGTTGAACAGAGTACTGTCTGTGCCAGGAAATTTTTCTTTCTCAGATTTAATAGCTGCAATAGCTACTCTAATAGAACTTGGCCTATATTTTGTTGGTTTCATAAGAGATTTTGTAAACTGTTTTACAAACCACAAGTGAAATGTGTCACTTATATTCTCAGACTTGGAGCTGTCTTACACTTTTAGCAATAGCTAATTCTTTTTCATCAGAATTAGAAGTCACAGGGAATTCACAGAACATCTTGCACAGAAATGCAAGAGATCATTTAAAACCAAACCACATTTCTAGTACCTGGAGCATATCTTTTTATTTTAGTGTACATCCAAAGCAATAAATTAGTCCACATGTAATGCTTAGTATATGGTAAATGTGGCAAGCTGGCTTTAGAATTAGCTGTCTTTATATTTGTGCCTTTGTTTACCATCATGTATAATATGAAACATTAAGAAATATGTAATGTATATATACATAGATACTAAAATATGATGTATATGTAAGTTTTAAAGCAAAACTTAATGACATGAGTATCAGTAGAACTCACTAATCAACAGAATAACCAGAACATGGCCAGTACTATTAACACTATTTCTGTGCTTCTCCCCTAATTTATCCCCCTGCCCTCCTCCAACAGATCACCACAATCTGTGTTTATAACTTTGCTTTTCTTTTTTAATAGTTTTACCCCATATGTAGATATCCCTAAACAATATAGTTTCATTTTGCTTGGTTTTGAGCTATAAAGCTCAAATTTCATAAGAAAATCTCTACAGTCTTTGGTGATTTTTTCTTCACTTCAACAATACATTTCAAAATGTATTTATGTTGTTGGATGTAATACTTAGTACATGTATCTCTATGTCACTCTTTAATATCATTTCATTTAATTTTTATCATTCTCTTTTCACTAGTTTACTAAGGAAGGAGGGAAGGAAGGAAGGAGTAAGGGTAGATAAGAGGGAAGGAGGAAGCAAGGGAGGGAGAAGACACCAGCAAGGACCATGACCTACCTCTAGAACATTAGTATAAGAAATTAAAGGTAAAAGGCAAAATTCTCAAAAGACTTCTGAATGCAGTACCTTGTCTTCCTTAAAGAGCTTCCCTGGTCCCTTTTCTGTGTCTGTAACAGCTGCAGAGACCTTTGCAATATATTTTTTCAGAGTCAGCCTTGCATCTGAAGGAACAGGACAATAAATAGCACAATAAGACAAAGACTAAAAATTATGCTCAACTATTTCCACTGTACTATTATATATCCAGAGTTTATAAAGACTGTATGTAGGAGATTTGTTGAGGTTGCTTTCACTGAATTTCAAGATAGATAATACTCAACTAGCACAGTGCTTTGGGACACTAACTGTGTTCCTACAATAATTCCTAAAATTTTGAAGACAAATAAACATGTGATACTTAATCCCAACGAGATCATATTCCATTAAAATATCTACTCTGGAAGGGCACCTGGGTGGCTCAGTTGGTTGAGTGCCCAACTCTTGATTTTGGCTCAGATCACGATCCCAGGGTCATGGGATCAAGCCCCCTGTCATGCTCCACACTAAATGTGGAGCCTGCTTAAGATTCTCTTTCTTTCCCTCTTTCCCCCTTTCCCTTGCTCACACTCACTCTCTCACTCTAAAAAATAAAAATAAATAAAAATAAACATAAAAATAATCTACTCTGGAGAAAGGAACAAAAACTCATTTCCAATAGACAAACTGTCACTTGCTTTACCCTTCATGATCCTTCAAAATAAATTCCAAAATAGCTTTTCTCTTTAAAATAAAAAAAGTGTTTAAAATAATTCCATTCACTATAGCACCCATAGTAATGTCATCACAAAATCTGCAAGACTTGTTCAAATACAATTACACTTTGAGAGAAATAAAAGATTCAAATAAATGAAAAGGCTTACCATATTCCTAGATGGAACAACTGAATATTTCAAATTGTAGGTAAACTCCAAATTAATTTGGAGGTTGATGTATGTGCTCCCTGTGGCTGCTATACCAAATTGCCACAAATTTTTGGTGGCTTACAACAATACAAATTTATTCTCCCACAGTTCTAGAGGCCAGAAGACTGAAATTGGTATCAGTGGACTAAAGTCAAGCTGTTGGCAAGGCTGAATACTTCAGAGGGCCTTAAGGGGAAAACCAATTTTCTTGCCCTTTTCAACTGCTAGTGGTGGCCTGTGTCCTTGACTGGTGGGGGGGTTCCTTCCTCCATCTTCAAAGGACCATAGGTCTCACCTGGATAATCTAGAATAATCTCTCCATCTCAAGATCCTTAACTGAAGGATCTACAAAATCCCTTTTGCCATATGAAGAAACATTCACAGGATCCAGGGATAATGACATATATATATCTTTGGTAGCCATTTTTTAGCTCATCACAGCCTGCCCTAAAGTTCACATCTATCCCACAAGCAAAACACATTTACTCCATCCCAACATTCAAAAGTCTCAACCCATTACAAAATTAACCCATGTCCAATGCTCATCTAAAATATCATCAGCTCAAAAGTCTCATATCTCATCATCTAAATCATCTAAACAAGCTATGGGTGAAACTTTGGTGTGATCCATAATCCTGGGGTAAGATTCCTTTCCATCTGTATAGACTTGTGAAACTAGAAAACAAGTTCTCTACTTCCAAAATATAATGGTAACAATTGTAGACACTGGCATTCATAAAGGGAGAGAGTGAAAGGAAAACAGGAGCCACCAGTCCCAAGCAACTTTAGAATCCCACAATGCAAATCCTGTTAGGTGTCAAAACCTAGCAAGAATCCTCTGTGGCACAAGGCTCCATCCTTTTGGACTGTGGCTCCAGCCTGAGTCATCCTTTTTGAGGAATGGTAGCATGCGTTTACAGGTGAATAGTCTCATCAGCCCATTTACTGTCTGTAGGGTTTGGGGAGTCCAGCAGCCTTTTTCTGTTTTGTTTTCTCTACTTCCCTTTGTTCAAACTGACAACGTTTCCTACCAGTACAACATTCTCAAAAATGCTGTGAGTCTCCTTGCAGGTCACAGAGACTCGTTTCATTAAACAAGAGGCTCTTCCACAGGTCTTTCTTGGATAATTTCATTTCTATTTCTGACTTCTGCTAAGATGGCTGAGGGGAGCCATGAGTCACACACCCAATCTTCTCAGCACCCACAAAACACTGTCCAACCACACCCATGCCTTTTCTACAAAGCACACTTTCCTAACAGTGAATCTTCTAATTTTAGCACTGTTGCTACCTAGATAGGCTGAGAATTTCCCAAATCATCAAGTCCTGTTTCCCTTTTAACATAACAGTTTTTTCCTCAATTTATCATTCTCCTCTCACATTTTATTATAAACAACAAGAAGAAACCAGGCCATGCCTTCAACACTTTGCTTGGAAATCTCTTCAGCTACATGTCCAAGTTCCCCACTTACAAGTTTTGCTTTCCATATATGGACAGGACACAATTCAGCCAAGCTTTCTGCCATAACCGCCCTTCCTCCAGTTTCCAATAACATGCTCATTTCCTTCTGAGCCCTCTCCAGCAGCATCTCTAACATGTTTCTACCAATAATCTGCTCAAAGCAACCTAGGCTTTTCCTATTCTGCACCTCAAAAATCTTCCATCTACTCATTACCCAATTCCAAAGCCACTTCTACATTTTTAGGTATTTGTTACAGCTGCACCTCACTTCCAGACACGGAAATCTGCATTGGTTCCCTATGGCTGCTCTAACAAATTATCACAGACTTGATGGCTTAAAACATTAATTTATTCTATTATAATTCTAGATGCCAGAAGTCTGAGATTGGTTTCACTGGACTAAAGTCAGGCATGGGTAGGGCTGATTCCTTCTGGAGGCCTGAGGAGAAAACCTATTCCTTGCCTTTTTCACCTTCTAGCAATTTTGTTTCCTCAGATTGTGGCTTCTCCCAATACCTTCAAAGTGCATCACACCAATCTCTGCTTCTAGCATCACTTCACCTCTTCCTCTTCATGTCAAACATCTACTTTCCTCTTACAAGGACACTTGTGATTATATTTAGGGTCCATCAGGAGAATCCAGGCTAATGTCTCACTCTCAAAATCCTTAATCATATCTGCAAAGTCCATTTTGCCCTATAACATTCACAGCTTGCAGTGATTAGGACCAGATCTTCAGGGGCCATTATCCAGTCTACCATGATCAGCGTACAATTTCATGAAACTCCACATAGGAGTTTTTGAGAGACTTTAAAAAAATCACTATACAGAAGAAAATGGCAACACAGTAGGAGGACCCTACACTTGCCTCATCCCACAAACCCAAATAGACAACTGTCAAATCATCCTAAATACCCCAGAAATGAACCTGAAGACTAACAGAACAATTCCACAACTAAAGGGTGAGAGGAGGCCATATTGAAGAAGAAGACGATGATGACGATGACGACGAAGGCAGCGATGACGACCGAAGGCAGCGGCAGAGACTTAGACAAGTCAAAGGAATGCCAAGACAAAGGAATTCATCCCAAATGAAAGAACAAGATAAGATTATGGTCAGAGATCTAATCAAAACAGATATAAGTAACATGCCTGATCAGGAATTTAAAGCAACAGTTATAAGGATATTCATAGGGGTTGAGAAAAGAATGGAAGACTTCAGGGAGACAATTACCACAGAGATAAGAGTTAAAAAAGAATCAGTCAGAGGGGCACCTGGATGGCTCAGTCAGTTAAGCGTCAGATTCTTGGTTTCGGCTCAGATCATGATCTCATGAGTTCAAGCCCTGCCAGTGGAACAAATCAATGAAATCAGGAGCTGATTCTTTGACAAACTTAATACAATTGATAAAGCTCTAGCCAGACCTATCAAACAGAAAAGAGAAAGGACCCAAATAAATAAAATCACAAACAAGAGAGGAAAAATAACAACCAACACCACAAAAACACAAACAATTATAGGAGAATATTATGAAAATCTATATGCCAACAAACTGGACAACCTGAAAGGAATTGGTAAATTCCTAGAAACATACAGACTCTAAAACTGCAACAAAAAATAAAAAACGTTTAACAGAATGATAACCAGCAAAGAAACTGAACCCATAATAAAAAGTCTCCCAACAAACGAAAGTCCAAGGCCAGATGGCTTCACAGGAGAATTATACCAAACATCTCAAGAAGAGTTAATACCTATTCTTCTCAAACTGTTACAAAAAATTGAGATGGAAGGAAAACTTCCAGATTCATTCTATGAGGGCAGCATTACCCTCAATAGAACTAGCAAATGGAATCCAACAGTACATTAAAAGAATCATTTATGACGATCAAGTGGGATTTATTTCTGGGCTGCAAGAGTGGTTCAATATTTGTAAATCAATCATGGTGATACACCACATTAATAAAAAAAAAAAGAACCATATGACTGTTACAATAGATGCAGAAAAGCATTTGAGAAAGTACAACATCCATTCATGATAAAAACCCTCAACAAAATAAGAGTTAGAGGGAACATACCTCAACATAATAAAGGCCATAAATGAAAAACACAGCTAATATCCTCAGTGGGGGAAAACTGAGAGCTTTTCCTCTACAGTCAGGAAGAAGACAGGGATGTCCACTCTCACCACCATTATTTAACATAGTACTGGAAGTCTTATCCAAACAGTCAAATACAAATAAAAGGCATCCAAATTGGCAGGGAAGAAGTCAAAATTTCACTATTTGCAGATGACTTGATACTGTATAAAGAAAACTGAAAAAATTGCTAGAACTGATACACAAATTTAGTAAAGTTGCAGGACACAAAATCAACATACAGAAATCTGTTGCATTTCTATACACCAATAATGAAGCAGCAGTAAGACAAATTAAGGAATCAATCCCATTTACAACTACACCAAAACCCATAATATACCTATCAAAAAACCTAATCAAAGAGGTGAAAGACCTATACTCTGAAAACTACAAATCACTGATATAAGAAATTAAGGAGGACTCAAAGAAATGAAAAGACATTCCATGCTCGTGGACTGGAAGAATAAATATTGTCAAAATGTCTCTATAACCCGAATCCATCTACACATTTAATTCAGTCCCTATCAAAATACCACCAGCATTTTCACAGAGCTAGAACAAACAATCCTAAAATTTTGTATGAACCACAAAATACTCCAAATACCCAAAGCAACCTTGAAAAAGAAAAGCAAAGCTGGAGCATCACAATTCTGGACTTCAAGTTATATTATAAAACTGTAGTGATTCAAAACAGCATGGTACTGGCACAAAAATAGACACATTGATCAATCAAACAGAACGGAAAACCCAGAAATGAACCTACAGCTATATGGTCAATTAATCTTTGACAAAGCAGTAAAGAATATCCAGTGGGAAAAAGACAGTCTCTTCAACAAATAGTGTTGGGAAAGCGGGACAGCAACATGTGAAAGAATGAAACTGGACCACTTTGTTATACTGTACACAAAAATAAATTCAAAATGGATGAAAGACCTAAATGAGAAACTTAAAACCATTAAAATCCTAGAGCACACAAGCCATAACATCTTTGACACCAGCCACAGTAACTTCTCTCTAGATATGTCTCTGGGGGCAAGGGGAAAAAAAGCAAAAATAAACCATTGGACTAAATAAATAAATAAATAAATACCATTGGACTAAATAAATAAATAAACAAACAAACTATTGGGACTTCATCAAAACAAAAGGCTTCTGCACAGGGAAGGAAACAATCAACAAAACTAAACGGCAACCTAAGGAATGGGGGCAATATTTGCAAATATCTGATGAAGTGTTAGTATCTAAAATACAAAGAACTTAACACTCAAAAAACAAATAATCCAATTAAAAAATGGGCAGAATACATGAATAGACATTTTTCAAAAGAAGACATCCAGATACTTGAAAAGATGCTCCATATAATTCATCATCAGGGAAACATAAATCAAAACTACAATGAGATATCACCTCAATGAGATAAGCCCATCAGAATGGCTAAAATCAACAACACAAGAAACAACAGGTGTTGGTGAGGATGTGGAGAAAGGGAACTCTCTTGCATCGTTGGTGGGACTGCAAACTTGTGCAGCCACTATGGAAAATAGTATGCAGGTTCATCAAAAAGTTAAAAATAGAACTACCCTAGGATCTAGCAATTGCACTATTAGGTATTTACCCAAAGAATACAATAGTACCAATTCAAAGGTATACATGCATCCCAAGGTTTATAGCAGCATTATGTACAATGTGGAAACAGGCCAAGTGTCCATCCACTGACAAATGGGTAAAGATGGTGTGGTATATATATATACATACACATATATATACATAATGGAATATTACTCAGCCATAAAAAAGAATGAAATCTTGCCATTTGCAAGGACATGGATGGAGCTAGAAAGTATTATGCTAAGTGAAATAAGTCAGTCAGAGAAAGACAAATACCATATGATTTCATTCATATGTGGAATTTAAGAAACAAAACAAAGGATAAAAGGGGAAAAAAAGAAAGAAACACACCAAGAAACAGAATCTTGGGATGCCTGGGTGGCTCAGTCTGTTAAGCAGCCAACTTCGGCTCAGGTCATGATCTCACGGTTCATGAGTTTTTGTCCAGCGTCAGGCTCTGTGCTGACAACTTGGAGCCTGGAGCCTGCTTCAGATTCTGTGTCTCCTTCTCTCTCTCTGCCCTTTGTCCAACCCCCCCCTTCAAAAAATAAAAAAAATAATAATAATTAAAAAAAAGAAACAGACTCTTAACTATAGAGAGCAACTGATGGTTACCAGAGGTGTGGTGGGTTGGGGACGGGTGAAATAGATGATGGGGATTAAGGAGCGCACTTGTGATGAATAAGGTCATGTAGGGAAGTGCTGAATCACTAAATTATACACCTAAAACTGTATTGCACCGTATGTTAACTTACTGGAATGGAAATAAAAAACTTAAAAAAAAAACTCACTGTAATGCTCAACTGTGCCATCTGTAGTACCTAACAATCTTCTGAGCCTCATTCATCTATCTATAAAGTGAACATAACAAAAGAGGTTACATTGAGATCTACATCTGGAACAGTATTCATGCATAGGGACCAGTTAATTGGTATTCTTGGTATTCCTTGCTTCCAGCACCTCAGAACTTCAAACTCATCATTCGCATTGCAAGCAAAATTAATTCCCTAAACTGGAATCTAAGTTCAGATTTTGGCTCTGCTATTTGGTAACCTGGAGTCAGTGGTGGTCCCAGAACTCCAATACAGGATGGAACTTAGGAGAGGCATTAGTTGGAAGGCGGGATTAAAAGGCGTGTTTTGAAACTGCATTTCTATAATAAGCATGCTGATTTTACTGAAAGCACATGTTTATTTTGGTGGCTTGCTAGAGAAAGGGATTTATTGCAAGCATCCTCTTAATGCCACCATACCTGTGTAGTGCATTCAGCTTGCTATAGAAAAATATCACAGACTAGGTAGATTATAAACAACAGAAATTCATTTCTCATAGTTCTGGAAACCAAGAAATCCAAGATCAAGGAACCAACATGGTTTGCAGTCTGATGAGAGCCCTCTTCCTTCATAGCTGGAACCTTCTCACTATGTCTTCACATGGTGGAAGGGGCTAGGGAGCTCTGTGGGAACTCTGATAAAGACACTAATCTTACTCATGAAGGTTCCACCCTCATGTCCTAAGCACCTCCCAAAGGCCCTACCTCCTAATACTACCACACTGGGCATTAGTATTCAACATATGAACTGGAGGTAGAGGGGGACATAGACCATAGGACCACAGTAATACCTTAACCCCTCTCAGCTTTATCTACAAAAGGAAGTATTAGGGTACAGTCCTCGGAAGATTGTCGTAACTAAACAAAATCTAGCAGAGCACGTGGAAGTATCTTGGCACAGTGCCTGGAACACGGTAAGCTTATGATTAGGTCACTCCTCTCCTCAAAACTCTATAAATGACTCCCTACTGACTGCTGAATAAAATACAGGGCCCTCCAACATCGATCTAGCCACAAACCACCTTTCCGGCTTTATCCCCTCTAACATTCATCCAGAGAATCTATCCATTGTTTACAGCGTGACATCCCCAAATGTCAACATGGTTCTGGTCTCTGCTCAGACATTAGCTTATCAAGAGGCACTTCCTGATGGCCCTCTATAAAGGAACACACTCATTCATTCACTTGCTGGCAACTTCATAACCCCCTTACCAGTCTACTTTTCTCAGTAGCACTCCACAGATACATAGATTTAGACAGATAGATTTTATGGATCTCCATATTAGAAGGTAAACTTCATGGACACAAATGCTGTTTTGTGCCAAGCTGTGTATATATTCTCAGGTCCTAAAACAGCATTTAGCACATAGAGGTACTCAACAAATATTGGTTATAGGAATGTTGACATAGAATTTCCTTGTTATGTTTCCTCAACCTAAGACGCCCTCTCTGTTGCCATCTACAAAAATTCTACTCCTTCAAAGCTTACTCAAATACCCTTCTGTGAAACTTCTGATTCCTCCAGGTAGAACTCATTGCTCTCTCAACCATTACATGATTAAAACTTGATCTAGCTCTTATTTCAGTCTGTCTTGTAATTTTTCCTATCTTGTTTTTGGCTTCTACCTCTAGATTGTAAGCTCCTTGAAGGCAGGGTTTGTGCCTCCTCTTTTTATCATATACCATGCCAAATTCCCCACCCCCCCACCCACTATCTGACAGTACCACATTCCCACCAAAGGAACATGGTTTAAAAGGGGGAGGGACTTGGGGCGCCTGGGTGGCTTGGTCGGTTAAGCGTCCGACTTCGGCTCAGGTCATGATCTCGTGGTCCATGAGTTCGAGCCCCGCATTGGGCTCCATGCTGACAGCTCAGAGCCTGGAGCTTGTTTCAGATTCTGTGTCTCCCTCTCTCTCTGACCCTCCCCCATTCATGCTCTGACTCTCTCTGTCTCAAAAATAAATAAACGTTAAAAAAAATTAAAAAAAAATAAATAAAAGGGGGAGGGACTCAATATTTGCTCAGCTATTTGAAGGGAAGGGCATTCCAGAGTGAAAAAATAGAAGCAGATGCTAAATTGTGTGAAATGGTATGGCTATAGCAATTTTTTAAGTAGATATAAAACTGGCATACTAAAAGAAGCCTTGGAGGAGATACAGGTAAATTATTTCCAAGAAAATCTATTAATACAATTACAGAATTTATTAGCAAGTAAAATATTAGTAAAGTCTTCATTTTTCAGAAAAGTGAAGAGGTTCAACACATTCTGGCAAAAACAAGAAAAAATATCCCTAAGAAACCCAGTAGGGGCACCTGGCTGGCTCAGTCAGCAGAGCACGCAATTCTTGATCTCAGGGCTGTGAGTTTGAGTCCCACACTGGGTGTAGAGATTACTTAAAAATAGAGTCTTAAAAAAAAGAAAAGAAAAGAAAAGAAAGAAAGAAACCCAGTGATTGGTTAGGTGACACCTTTTAGTTCCAGTGTGGTTCTTTGTGACATCACTGAATTTAACCCTGAATCACTATAACTGATGATGTTATAATGATCATCAGTGTATGCTGCGCTCACTAGGATCTTAAAAGCTTTGAGTAGAGCATATTAACCTCTACTCAGAGCAGTTCTACTCTGTGACCAATTTTTGGCTATAGATTTTTTTTCCCCCCGATTGAGAAAGATGTCCATTCAGGGACTATCCCTGTCTTTTTCTCTGTTGTTGATCTGCTTCCTTAGGGAGAGCTTCTGCATTTGTGATGGAACTATCTGGACAAAGGTTGGATGGGAGATTTTTCCAGAAGAAATGCATTGTCTGAAAGTTAAGCCTTCTCCATCTCACTGTCTACCTTACCCTCTGGACAAACTATGCTGCAATTTTGCTAATGTGGATATACTGGAGAGTTCTTTACACCTCATTTATATTTTAGTACAAGCTCTGTTTTTAATCCTGTCTGTTTTATCTGTGCATTACCTGTGGATGAAATGGAAAAAACGCCAAAAACAGGTGAATTAGTGATGAAAATAGTAATAGTTATAAAATATCAAAGCCTTTAAAACAAAAGATTATCAGCTTCTTTGAGGGAAAGTACCATGTCTTATACCTCTTTGTAACATCTCCCTGCCCCCACCACTCATCCCTCAACATGTAGTACAATTTCTTGTCTTGCATGTACTAGGGGCTCAACAAAAGTGTATTGAATTAGGAAGTCCTTAAAACAATGTAGCTCAACCCCTCTCAAGTTACAAAATACATCAAGAAAGTAGTGAGCTAGAATGGATAGGAAATGAAATGAGTAGAATGGATAGGAAATGAAACTGGGCCCACAGGTAAGTCATTTGATCTTTCTCAGCTGCCTCAACCATAAAATGAAGCATCTGGACAAGAGATCTGTTAAGTCCCTTCCAGATATATCTAAGAAAGCTAAGTATGTAAAAGTGCACATGTATTTTTTTTTCTTTTTTAAATAGACCGTAAACTTATTTCTAATGTTAGGATAACTTTCTGGGAAATGGCACTCTTAAACCAATTTCCCACTTGGCACACCACGCCCCCCCGCCCCCCCCGCAATGCACCATATTTTGAGGCAATTTTAAAAGCTGACTGACCTTCACAACTATTAGATATTTATAAAATTGCTATGATTTGATTGCATTATACATTACTGTTCAGTAAAGGAAAATATTTTGCTAATAGTCAAATAATAGTATTTGCTCTAACCATAACAAGCTTATATTAAATGCTTGCTGATTGTGATAATGATCACCACAATCTTACATGGGGGTGAACAGAAAAGACCATCTCTTCTACACTTATTCCTTTTTTCTATAGTAACCTTTCTATTGTGTAGATAAGTAATGTATCGTGCTTGGAATTTATATATATCCAGGGGCACCTGGGTGGCTCAGTTGGTTAGGTGACGGATTTCGGCTCAGGTCAGGATCTCACAGTTCGTGAGTTTGAGCCACGCGTCGGGCTCTGTGCTGACAGCTCAGAGCCTGAAGCCTACTTCAGATTCTGTGTCTCCCCTCTCTCTACCCCTCCCCTGCTCACACTCTTTGTCTCTCTGTCTCTCAATAATAAATAAATGTTAAAAAAAAGTTTTAAGTGTATATATCCAGAAAGCAAATGTAATTTGAACTACAGTAAGAAAAAAATCTATAATATCATCTGTCTTTCTCCCTTTAGCTAAAAAAACCAGCCTCCTCAGATACATTTGGTAATGATCCAGAAAATCAGTCCCTATATGACATTGATCAAATACTCTGCCGGCTGGTGGCCACAACATCAATGATGTCCAAGTACCTGAATCAGGTGTCCTGTCATCCTCCAGCTAAGAAAGTCAAACACCGAAAACTAAAGAGGAAGAATGAGGGAGGAGAAGGAGCCAGAGGAAACTAGACCTATCCATATGCAAACATATCTCAGTCCAATATGGAGGTTAGAGACAACTCATTCAAGGATAAAAATGTTCTTTGAGAGCCTTTGTAATTTTTTGTTACTTACTTTACCAAGACTTTCCAAACAAGTATGGGTTGAAAAAGTACTTCTATTCAGCTGAAAAGGCACCCACACTTACTATAGTGCTGAGAAAAAGATTATGTACTATCACTTCTTCGTGTTTAAGTATTTTTTTCTTTTTAGTGTGTTAGATTGCTAATCATTAACCAATATGTAGAACAGAATCTTGCTTTAGTGTTCAATAAATCTCTGATTTAAATAATATTTGTGCTTTTTCTTACTTTTCTGAGCAGATCTTTGGGCCATATGGAAACTTTTAATTTCCCATCTCATATTGCCAAAATAGTATGGAAATATTAAGAAACAGATTAATTTTCAGAGAGGGAGGCAAACCATAAGAGACTCTTAAATACAGAGAACAAACTGAGGGTTGATGGTGGGGGGTGGGGAAAATGGGTGACGGACATTAAGGATGGCACTTGTTAGAATGAGCACTGGGTGTTATAAGTAAGTGATGAATCACTGGGTTCTACTCCTGAAGCCAAGACCACACTGTAGGTTAACTAACTTGAGAACAAATTTTAAAAATTTTAAAAAGAAATGGATTAATTTTTTACAGTATAAATTTCTCCATTTTCGTTACGACAAATGAAGTAAGTATCAACATTTAAAAATTTTTAGTCTTTGGTTGATTAAGATTGCTCAATTTTTAAAAAGTATTCCAGACTTTTATTGATCAGCCACCTCATTTTTATAAGTATGGTTACAAATGGGAAGATTTGTCTGAGACTAGGACAGAAGATTTGATTTAAAACCTGTTGAAAACCCCAGAAAAATATGCCAGCTCCATAACATACCTCCCATCAATATAAGGGAGGAAAAAAACTTTTAGAAAACAATTCTTGAGATAGTAACATATAACTCTATAGTCTTTACAAGGCATAGGATGGTGCTTGCCTTGAGTTATTGTGGATTATTAAACGTTTACTTATGATTCCAGTTTCCAGACTGTCCTTCCTTCCTCTCTCCCGTACCACAACCCTACTCCTACATCTCCAAAAATGATTCTTCCATCCCTTCAGACTTCTGACCTGTCAACCAATTCCTTCTAAGAGAACATGTATACACATTTCTTCTAATGGGGACTCTTGAACACTTGCAAAGTCTCCAAACCTCGAAAACTTTCCAAAGAAATTTCTAACAGTGGAATTTTCAACAGCATAAAGGGAATTCTTTTTAGGGTAGGTATTAGAGTACAAAACTGGGCTTTAACAGGATGCCTGGAGGCCAGCAAAGGGGAGTTGTGGCCAGCTATGGGGTGAGGGGAAGTTACAGACCTGTCCCGAGGGCACTCTAAAACAAAGCTACAAGACACTGGATCAAACCACACAGGCCCAAGGCAAAGAAGGCTGGAAACCCTAACCAGGTAAAGGAATAAATGTGCCAAACCCTGCTCCCAAGAAATTCCTTCCCCAAGTACTGAATATTCCATCCCCTAGTTAACAATTGTCAGTAAAAGACAGTGACCCAAAACCAGAGCACAAAGCTCTCCCTTGAGCTCACCCCCTTTCACAACTCGAGAGCGTACCCTCACTTTAATAAACTTTCCCACTTGCTTCTCTTGATTGTTGTCTGGTCTGTCCTTGAATTCTTTCTTGGGAGGACGTCAAGAGCTTTCAATGACATCTCTGGACAGGCTAGACAGAGGCCTCAGAGTCCCGGTGCAGGGGGCGGGGGGCAGGGAGTCCTCCCCAGTCCATCTGACAGCATAGGGAGTCCTCTACCCCTTAAGCCTCTCCAGATGACCCCTACTCTAGTCACTAGAACAAGAAACAGCAGTGGTTTAAATTCTCATTAAGTCTGAAGCAAACAAATGTTAAATGTTTCTTTGAGTAGTTGGTGTTTCAGACATCCCATACATTACCATGAAGCTCCAGTCCTTACAATTCCATCACTGATCAGAAAACAGAATGCTAGTTTATAGTATTATAGTCTTCTTTTATCTTAATTATTAGGAAATATTAGGTATAATTCCCCCAAGAATGTAAGGACCCAAACTAAACAGATGGGTATTAGGAAGAAGAAAACCAATGGAAGCTCACACCCAAAAGTCCCAAACTGTTTCTTTTCAGAAAAGTTACAGTAAAATTTGTCCCTGGTTTGTGTTTTTTTAAGTATCATGGGTCATTTTTCAAAAATGGATTTTAAATTATACAATATGAATTTCACCTACAATAGCTATTCATGGGGGATCAATTCTTTGCTATTTGTTTTCTTTTTACTTGTAGATCTAACCATGAAATTGAAGGTATTCATAAAAACATTGTCCCTAGAAAACATTAGTACAAGTGGGCAATTATAAAGTAATGCACAAAGTATAACATCTTTTTCTTCCCAAAAGTGCTACCTTGCCTCAATTCCTTATTTCTATTCTCCCAGCTCCCCCTCTCATTTTACTGATAAGCAAGTTCCTTATTGCTACCAGATGAATCTTCCTAAATATCACTTTCATCTTCTTCCTTTTCTACATACAAACTTTCAATGGCTCCCAGTAGTTACAGAAATGAAATGAAAACACCTTAGCCTGACATTTAAGGGTATAATCTGGCTATAATAATAGCAACATTTTTTTTAATGTTTTTATTTTTTGAGAGAGAGAGAGACAGAGCACAAATAGGGTAGGGCCAGGGATAGACACAGAATACAAAGCAGGCTCCAGGTTCTGAGCTGTCAGCACAGAGCCCGACTCGTGGGCTTGAACCCACAAGCAGTAAGATCATGACCTGAGCCAAAGTCAGACGTTCAACCAACTGAGCCACCCAGGTGCTCCAATAGCACCAGCATTTTTCAAGTGCTGATCACACACCAGGCCTTGTGGTAAGTGCTTTATATCATCTCATTTCATTCCTCACAACTAACCCCAAGAGGTAGGAACTATTATTGGCTCCCTTTACTGGAAAATAAAACTAAGGTATAAAGAATTTAAGGATCTTGTCTGAGGTCACATAGGTTTCAAGTGGAAACACCAGTATTTAAACTCAAGCAATTTGATTCAAAAGTGCATGTACTTACTCTTTTACAATTCTATCTGTGCAGTAACCCACCCTTGCAAATTATGATTTTCTATTCCAGTAAGGCAATCTCATCACTGTCCTCCAAAATGCCACTTTCATTCCCAGCCCACAGATTTTGCTCACATCCTGTCTCCTTCTATTGGATTAAAAGCCCACTCATTCTCTAAGGCCTAGCTCAATTGCAACATGTTCAGACTTCACATTCTCTGACAACCCCATAGCAGGTACCACCTGCTCTACTGATTTTAACCCTTACTCATAGTCTTTCTTATGTTGTTACTTATGTCTATAGCTTATCATCCTCCACCTAACAAATGTCCAGAGGGAAGGAACAACCCGTTGTACCTACGACAATGCTACGCTCATAGTGGGCATTTAATAAATCCTCGCTGAAAGCAAAATTGCAGATAACTATGCAAAATGAATGCCATGAACTTCACAAGTACTGGGTTTTTTTAACCAGTGTGTATACACATACATAGTTACACAGCTATTATCTCCCTGAAATCTCTAAGCTATGTTCTATAGGGTTGCGAAAATGAATTAAGCAAAATATCGCTAAAATTCAAAAGAGCACATAGCTTTCTGACCTTTGACTGAAGCATTAACATTCATGCAGAAAAGTGCAAAAATTATAAATGTACAACTCAATGAATTTTCACAAACGAACACACCATATAACTAGCAACCAGATTAAAAAAAAAATTACTACATCCTAGAAGTTCCCTCATGCTAGACAGGTAACTGCTATTCTGACTTCTAACACTATAGATTAATTTTGCCTGGAAAATCATTTTAAGTTATTATAACTTTCTACCTGGGAAAGCAAACATATGACTCAAATATGCCATTTAAAAAAAAAGTTGAGGAATGGACCATTCAACCTAAGTCTCTCAGGAAATGGCCCTCAACATAAACCATATATATATATAATATATATATATATAAAATATATATAATATATATATATTCTTATAGGAAATTATTGTTGAAATTGTTAGAAGTTAGTCAATCAACTAGCTTTCAATATGTACAGTTTCTATTAAGTACAATGTTGGAGGCCAATAGCAAAATAGCAAAAAAAAAAAAAAAAAAAAAAAAAGGGAAGATTTCACACATCACCACCAGTGACTTGTGACTATATCTACAAATAAAACATGGTGGCAAAAGGTGAAAATGCTAATCATCTCTTGCTTTGTTGATGGTATAACCTATCACTCATAGGAAAAAAAATCCATCACTCAGTCTGTTTGCTACTGTCATTAGCTAGATCCCAAGACCTGACCTTCATTGCCCACTTGCTTGTACTCACCAATCCCTGTTGCACATTTTTCCTTAAGCTCCTTTCTGGCTTATCTCTTAACTCAGGCAAATGGAAACCGAAACCATCCCTCAAGTATAGGAACTGCCCTGAAAGACCACCAGCCAGCCCAGACCACGCAGACTAGTTTCAGCATAACCCCTGACTCATGCCTGTGCAGATGGACTGTAGAGTGACCTCCAGAATGACTGACAACTACCTTTACCTTATTATAATACTAAAATCTCCACCCAAGGAGGAGCACGAGCCTCATTTGCATAACATACAACGTATGTATAGGCCTGTTTCCTTAAGGTGCATGTGGGATCTTATGTGCACCTCTACAAAACATGACAAGGATCCCCTTGTTAAATATTCATCTTAACCCTAAATTAAAGAAACCCACTCACCCTTGCTTGGGGAGTCGCAGCTTTGGAAGTTCTTCCTTGTGATCTCCTAATTTGCTGCAAATAAAGCTTCCTTTGTGCAACAACTCTTCTGGTGTAGTTTCTATGTGACTCACCAAGGAACAAACTCATGTTGGTTCAGTTACACCACTGCCTTGTGGGCTTCCTTACCTGCCCAGTCCAGGAATTCAACACACTCGGTCTGGGAATACCGAGCAGCAACATCTCGAGCTCTTTCTTCCCGAAAGTTCAGAGCTTCTGTATCAACATCCAATTCCACAAGTGCTTTCAAAGTTTCCAAACGACCCCAGGCTGCAGCACAGTGTAAGAGTGTGTAACCTAACAAATAGAATGAAGATGGTCAGGTCAAATAGACTACATTGTTTTAGGCCATTTTATTGAACAGAAGATCACAATGGCAATCAAGTATTAAACAATTACTGTGGGCCAGGCACTATTTTAAGTACTTTATATATAGTAAACTCATTTACTTCATAAAAACCCTATGAAGTCAGAACTTTTATAATCCCCACTTTAAAGATAAGGAAACTGAGGTCCAGAAACTTGCCTGAGGAACACAGCCAGTAAATGACAGGTGAAAGATACCAACACAGGCAGCCTGAAGTCTAAGCTTTTCAACATTTCTAAGGAAGACAGCAACATCCCTAGCAGTAATTTATTTTGGAGCACAATTAGACCAATGACTTTAGTCGAAGGGATTGTCAGCAAACTCTAATTGCTAGCATTATTGTTATTTTTTAAAATTTAAATCCAAGTTAGTTAATATACAGTGTAATAATGATTTCAGGAATAGAATTTAGGGATTTATCACTTACAGATAACACCCAGTGTTCATCTGAACAAGTGCCCCCCTTAATGCCCCTTGCCCATTTAGCCCATCCCCCCACCCAATAGCCCCTCCAGTAACCCTCAGTTTGTTCTCTATATTTAAGAGTCCCTTATGGAGACACAAGCATCCAACTTCGGCTCAGGTCATGATCTCCAGTCCGCGAGTTAGAGCCCTGAGTCAGGCTCTGTGCTGACAGCTCAGAGCCTGGAGCATACTTTGTATTCTGTGTCTTCCTCTCTCCCTCTCTCTCAAAAGTAAATAAACATAAAAAAAAGTTTTTTTTAAAGAGTGCCTATGGTTTGTCTCACTGATTTTATATTATTTTTGTTTCCCTTCCCTTATTTTCATCTGTTTTGTATCTTAAATACCACATATGAGTGAAATCATATGATATCTTTGACTGACTTATTTCGCTTAGCATAACACACACTAGTTCCACCCATGTTGTTGCAAATGGCAAGATTTCATTCTTTTTGATTGCCGGGTAATACACACACACACACACACACACACACACACACACACACACTAAGTCTTCTTTATCCATTCATCACTTGATAGATATTTGGGCTCTTCCCATACTTTGGCTATTGTCAATAGTGCTGCTATAAACATTGAGATGCATGTGCCCCTTTGAAACAGCACAGCTGTATCCCTTGGATAAATACCTAGTAGTGCAATTGCTGGGTCATAGAGTAGTTCTATTTTAAATTTTTTGAGGAACCTCCATACTGTTTTCCAGAGTGGCTGCACCAGTTTGCATTCCCACCAGCAGTGCAAAAGAGTTCCTCTTTGCGTCCTCACCAACATCTATTGTTGCCTGAGTTGTTAATTTTAGCCATTCTGACTGGTGTGAGGTGGTATCTCATTGTGGTTTTGATTTGTATTTCCCTGATGATGAGTGATGTGGAGCATCTTTTCATGTGTCTGTTAGCCATCTGGATGTCTTCTTTGGAAAAGTGTCTATTCATGTCTTTTGCCCATTTGTTTACTGGATTATTTGTTTTTTGGGTGTTGAGTTTGATAACTTCTTTATAGATTTTGGATACTAACCCTTTATCTGATATGTCATTTGCAACTATCTTCTCCCATTCTGTTGGGTGCCTTTTAGTTTTGCTGACTGTTTCCTTTGCAGTGCAGAAGCTTTTTATCTTGATGAGGTCCCAATAGTTCATTTTTGCTTTTAATTCCCTTGCCTTTGGAGATGTGTCAAACAAGAAATTGCTGCAGCTGAGGCCAAAGAGGTTATTGCCTGTTTTCTCCTCTAGGAGTTTGATGGCTTCCTGTCTTACATTTAGGTCTTTCATCCATTTTGAGTTTATTTTTGTGTCTGGTGTAAGAAAGTGGTCCAAGTTCATTCTTCTGCATGTCGCTGTCCAGTTTTCCCAATGCCATTTGCTGAAGAGACTTTTTTCCATTGGATATTCTTTCCTGCTTTGTCAGTTGCCATATATTTGTGGGTCCATTTCTGGGTTCTTTATTCTATTCCATTGATCTATGTGTCTGTTTTTGTGCCAGTACCATACTGTCTTGATTATTATAGTTTTGTAATACAGCTTGAAGTCTGGCATTGTATTGTCTCCAGCTTTGGTTTTCTTTGTCAGGATTGCTTTGGCTATTTGGGGTCTTTTCTGGTTCCATACAAATTTTAGGATTGTTTGTTCTAGCTCTGTGAAGAATGCTGGTGTTATTTTGATAGGGATTGCATGCTAGCATTATTGTTAATACAATCATACAAATTATGACAACTATGTGTGCCTTTGGTTTGGAAATTAATCATCTGAATTAAAACTGAAAACATGACCCATCAAATTAGAAAGTTGTTTTTTAGACTAACTGAGGCAACTACTAGGGGGGTGAAAAACGGAGGCATCATTAAAATGTTTCACACTGGCTTAAAAAAATCAAGTCACAAGTTCATGATTTCAACCTACCCACAGGATGTATTTATGACTCATTTAACCGGCCAAAGAGGCATATCCTACTACTATAAAAAGAATTGAGCAAAAGAATGAATAGATGTATTGAATCTATTAAGTACTGGGCACTTTATGTACTACTACTTCATTTACACCTTCACTAACCTTCTGAAGTCAGTGTTGTTAGCTCCATTAAAAGATACAGAGGAAAGTGAAGGTTAGAGATGCTATACATTGCCCAAGGCCACACTCGTAGTAAGTAGCCAAAGCAAGATTAAAACCAAGGTCTGTTGCCAAATAAAGGGTTTATAAGTAGTAGAAAACAACACTTAAATGTTTGTCACTGAGTACAGCAGGGAAAAAGAGGCTAATGATTCCTCCACTTTCTTCCAGAAACCTCCCCTTGGCTCCCTACTTGCCATATTCCCACAATTCCAGTTCTGCTTTACATCAAGGTGTAAACTACCTTTGGCTTGAGGATATCATAACCAGAAGGGTTAATAAAGGAATCAAAAATAAGATGAAGTGAACTACTCCGGATCAGCCAAAATTGGAATTACCTCTCCTCTTTGGCCCAACCTTTCTTTTTAGTATCACAACAAGTGAGAAATTTCAAAAACCAAGAGATAGACACTGGCTCAAGAATTTAATTTTGCCTTTATTCTCTACAAAATGGGGGGCGTGGGGCAAGAAATACCCTGATACCACCCTTATTCTTGCTTTCTGCATGAAGTCGTCAATGAGCTGAAAAGTCCAGGGCTGCTGATTTGCTGGGGGAGGGAAACACTATCTACAGACAAGATGCTGCTAATATGACCAAGAAGACATTCCAAGTGAGATGTTCTGGCTCCTTATACTGCTTTTCTCAAGGCTAATGTTACAGGCCACTGGTAACATCTAATTTTTTTTTCTATTTAATATGCATAGTTTAAAAACAAGAAAATATATTTCTAAACAAAAGAGGATTTTAACAAAAAATTTACATGTTTTTAAAACACCTTTCCATGTTTTTCCCCTTGTTGAAGATGGTCTCTTTTCTAGAAAGAAACACACAGATGCTTGTAGTACATTAACCCCATTGCTGTCCCAGAAGAAGAAAAATATTTAAATCAGATTATTTCAAAAGCATCCATATGAGAAAGGGATTTTCCTAGCATCCTCCATAATGTTGTCAATGAGCAATGGATCCCAGAAGAGGGATATAAGGAAGGCCACATGTTAGAAATCCTAGTAGCAAGAAAGGTACCATAAATGGAACTGGGAAGGATTAGGGTTCTTTTTTTTTTAGTACAAAATGTATTGTCAAATTGGTTTCCATACAACACCCAGTTCTCATCCCAACAGATGCCCTCCTCAATACCCATCACCCACCCTCCCCTCCCTCCCACCCCCCATCAACCCTCAGTTTATTCTCAGTTTTTAAGAGTCTCCCATGGTTTGCCTCCTTCCCTCTCTGTAACTTTTTTTTTCCTTCCCCTTCCCCTCCCCCATGGTCTTCTGTTAAGTTTCTCTGGATCCACATAAGAGTGAAAACATATGGTATCTGTATTTCTCTGTATGACTTATTTCACTCAGCATAACACTCTCCCGTTCCATCCACGTTGCTACAAAAGGCCATATTTCATTCTTTCTCATTGCCACGTAGTATTCCATTGTGTATATAAACCACAATTTCTTTATCCATTCATCAGTTGATGGACATTTAGGCTCTTTCCATGATTTGGCTATTGTTGAGAGTGCTGCTATACACATTGGCGTACAAGTGTGGATTAGGGTTAATTCTAATTGAAAAATAATCTCTTTGTGGAAGACTACTACTTACTAAATAGAAAGGGAGTCAACTGAGCAGGTAGTTCATAGTAAGGCAAAAGATCAGACAAGAAAAGGAATCTTTTCCTCCATACAGGCACTGTTATCCACTCACTACAATCCTATAAAGTAGGCACTAGCATTGTTCTCATTTACAGATAAGAAAACAAAAAGAGAAGATAAGTACTTTTCTCTGGGTTGCTGTAAGTTTTTTTTAATGTTTACTTATTTTTGAGAGAGAGTGAGAGCAAGTGAGTGAGAAGGGGCAGAGAGAGGGGGGACAGAAGATCAAAAGCGGGCTTTGTCACAAACCATGAGATCATTCATGACCTGAGCTGAAGTCAGACACTGAGCCACCCAGGCGCCCCCAGCATTGCTATAAATTAATGAAGGTATATGGTAAGGTCAAAGTCCAAGAATGGGGATGATGAGTCAAAAACAAAAAATAGGCCATGAAGCAAAATACTCACCTATCTAGAATATTTCTCACAGCCTGCCTACCACCACTACTACCAGACTCTTTGAATTGCCCAAATTATGTTGTTCCATGCCTCTACAACTTTGCATATGCTGGGGTTTTTTTCTACCTGAAATAATAATTACAGTAATGAAATAAAATAATACCAGTATAACTTTAATGCTTACTTAGTGTTAATACTGGTGTTTTATAAAATGGAATTCAGAATTCACTCTTTTAAATTAGTGAAACTATTTAATACATTTTAAATATGAAATGTATAAACACAGGATATCAAAGAAAA